CCCCCCCCCCCCCCCCCAGCTACAATCTGTTCAGGAATTCTGAACAATTTAATTTTATTCGACTGAACTGAAGGAACTGAAAAACGCCTTTATTGCCAACATGATTGATAGGAGACCCAAATGCTTAGCTGAGCTAACGTAATACACGAATTACTTTCAAATGACTTAACTACAGTTGCCAGGCAATTGGAAAATGATATGACCTATATTAACTGTGTTTGTTAGGGTGCAGTATTCTATAGCTTAGCCACAAAAAACTACTGTACTCCTGCTGTGACTTAAATGAAAATGATATAATTTAACAAATATGTAGGATACATCTAGCCAATATTGTAGACAAAATAGTCTGTGACAACTTGGAGGACTCGTGTACAATCGAAAACAAAAATGCAAAGCATTTGAACATAATCACGGAGCGCAAGTATTTTCTTCGAGAGCTTCGTCGAGCACTGTCCAAAATAGTCACCTCGAACTTGACTGAAATCTTAATGTTAGTCAAATCCCATTTCTCTCAAATCCCCTAACAACATTTGTAGTTTCAAATTCCACTTACGTTGTATCCTTCAGAGAGGAGGAAAAAAAAATATAATGTACACATTAAGATAGTCAGAGTGATATGTTAAAAAAAAAGATCCGTCGCGATTGAAACACGTAAAGCCAGCGGCTTCGTTTGTTGATTGTTCCGTTTTGACCTCGCCTCCTCTTTGTAATTTACAAAACATTGTTATCTTTGTATCATCCTAATAGAAAATTTTTAAATTTAACTGTGACTCAAAATTTAGTTATCAGTTGATTTACATATGAACACGCAGTTATCTATCTCTGAAAATACTATTTTTGTCTCGGTGCCCCAAGCGTGATTTCTATATCAGTGACGCAAGCCACATAACCTAATGCCTTTGGACATGTTTACAGCAAAGTATAGCTACAACAGTTCTGAAGAGTAATTTTATTGTTGTCAAAATGCGCATAAATTATCCACACTAACTCTGAAAACACTATTTTATTTTCTAATTCAGCCGATGTTTTGATCTAAAGGGTCGACAAAATAAGCTACATTTCACCGTCCACTCTGAAAAACAAGCCGACCTGCTATTCCGAATGCTTATAGCTCAATTTTCGGCATGGAGGCATAATGTTGGTGCTTAATTTTTATCACAGTCCGGTTTATTTAAAATCTTTTAGACATCTCTACCAGAACTCTACTTGTCCTACTTCCCATCGGCAAAGCAAGGAAGTCGAAGTTGTGCCTTATCGATATCTGTCTAGCCGTTTACTTTTCTACAATGTAAGTGGGAATTTAGAAATATTTGACCGACAAGTGTTTTTAAAATGAATAGATGCAAAAAAATCGGGGCGCATTAATGTACAGTTTTCACAAATGCAGTTATTTTTCATTTTTAAGATGAGGGAGGATCAAAAACTGGCCTATATAAAACACGATTTCGCCGCAAACTTCCTCCTCGGCAAAGACACTTGCCGGCACAATACACTAAAGTGATCACGTGACCTCTAATCCGCTTTTATTGCCGGTGAACCAGTGGCTTACTTTTGTATCAGTAATACTAACAGTACCAAGCTTTTACATTGGAAAAAAGTATAAACTCATTTCTCTATTTTAAAGTGTTTTTTTCACCTTCTCTGATTGTAAGGGAAAGACTATTGTTGACTTAAACGCATCGCACAAATTCATTACCATTTCAAAATGTTACCGCTTTTGTTTTCTTTTCTAAAATATAAACAATTGGCACTTTTACCAGTCTGAAAAAACAGGCCAAAAATAGGCCTCTAATAACTATGTTTGAACTACATTAAGTTTCATGTCATTGGCTGAGCAAGGCTGTTTTTCTCCTTGGCTGCAAAATGAGTATGTAAACTTTTCACGACTGTGTTATTAGCATCCTTTGGCAGCGGCTAATTAGACACTGAAATATTCAGATTAGAGATAGTGATTTCCTGAAGATTGTACACATTTGGCATAATGATTGTTTCGTAATGACAAGTTGCTATTATCGGTAGCCAATCTTGAGCGTTCTTTTGAAAATTGTTACAACAAGACCATTGATCGGTGAATGATTCCTCCCGGAAACCTTCGAGTCATAAAACGATTTCTCTCGTTTAGTTACAGGAAATATCCTTTCAAGTGCTTGTTCAACAAAAACCGTCAATATTCAACAGTATTCTACGCCAAAACGAGCATTAGACATTTACAGTTGATTTTGGCCGACGAACTTTGTTTGCCGCACTCGCCGCCAAATGGCGGAGCTTACTGAGAAAGATGACCCCGTTACTTCGTCTATTTTACATTTCGTTCAAGAAGTCTTTCTCGTATTTGTCATAGCCGCAGCCATCGTACTTAACTTTTCTGTAGTTTATGTTATTTGCAGAAACAAACATCTCAGGAAGATCACCACTAATATATTCATTTTAAACCTGGTTGTGTCTAACGCGTTAATGGCAATATTTGTGATGCCACTGAGCTTGGTAACGTTTAAAAGATTGGGTTGGACCATTGATTCATCGCTTTGTAAGGTGAGAGGAATTTTTTTTAAAATTTTAATCAGCTTTTCACAGTTTCTTCGCTAACCAAAATATTGAATAATGGAATTCCCAGTCGGAAAAAGGAGCACGTTTTTCATTATTTCAGTAGTTTACTAGTACTGGGAAAACTTTGTTAATGTACCAGTCATGCCAAGCCAGCTGTAAGGCGTTCTTTTCTACCATTGTCAGTTCTGCTTGCGATGAGACCTACACGGGAAAAATCGCCTTCAGCAGTATATTTGAAAACTGAATTGTAAACATCCTTTTGTTAGGGACTTGTATGATAACGAAAAGAATTCTTCTGCTTTGTTTAACTCTCTCATTTGCTTTGGTCTGTAGTTGTTATTTTGTACCCAAAAAGGAAATAGGTGACCGTGGGTAGTGAAAAATTAAAGTTTACAAATTAAAGCAGAGATGGTCTACCCGACTATAGAAATAGAGAAGTGCTAAAACTTTTCACACTTAAGAAATTAAACAGAAATTTGTCATAAATATTCAATCGCTTCACTGCCTGAAAATTATTTCACCAACACGCAAATTAAAAGAGAATTTTTTTTTCATTTTTCTAACTGAGATTAGCCGTACAGATTTTGACGTCAAAGAAAAAAAAAAGAAGTAATCCAAAAGGATGTCTGCGGATTAGATACTAGTCATTTTAGTCAGTGCAAATAGGGAACTCGTTTATATTGTCATCCTATGTTCGTGACGAAAGTTTATCTCTAGATGAACAAACAAAATAGCGAAAAAATTCATTTTCAAGAAACGGAAATTTGAGCACCTAATGGTTTGAAGAATTTACCTTATTCAAAAGCGGCGTTCACGAATTCCATGTTTTCGATTGTTAATGTGAGATGAAACACTTCATGACATATCAGGCGAAAGGAAATGGCTTAATCTTATTACTGATAACTTAAAATCGTTTTTGAAAATCCCGTAGGAGGCAGGTATTGCTTGATATCGAATCCTACGCATCGCTAGAGGTAAATATTCATATCGGGAGCAAAGAGGAAGTAAGAGAATCTCATCATCACATTTCCTTAACGAAAACGAGATTATACGGCTTTTGTTTTAACCAAAGAGACGGATTCGAAGACCCTGATTGTTTCATAGCAACATAAAACTGTGTAAATTCCAATTCTATAGAGAATAAAATGAAGGGCCATTATGTGCCACTATCTGAGTCTGTTCACCAAGGAGCTCCAGCGCGTAAGCTCTAGGAAATCCAACAAGCTGAAGAAATTTGTTTATCACACTTTGGCTATACGTTAGTCGATATGCAAAGTGTATTTTGCGCGAGCACCTACTTGCATTATGTAAAAATTGGAATGAAGTGAAGAGCGTCGAAAAAAATAAAATAAAATAAAAAACTGCACTGTTAGGCGCAGCTTGGTCTAAATACCGTTTTAATCATTTGCCTGTTAATTACAGATGAATGGAATTTCCAGTACTATGTTGTGCTTTGCATCCATCTCAACTCTATGCTGCATCAGTGCTGATCGATACTTAGCAGTGGTCAGACCAATGCGCTACAAGCATGTGCTAACCCCGAGGAGAGCGTTCTGCATGCTCATGCTGGTTTGGTTAGGGTCTCTGTCTCTCGCTTGTTTGCCACTGATCACTAACTACGAGTTTCACCCAGGAACGAACCACTGCTCTCCTGCATGGCATCGTAGCTGTGAATTATACGGATTCATGACTGTTTTAGCTCTCGGAATACCTTTAGTAACTCTTCTTTCCACTTATGGTATGATATACTCGTCTGTGCGTAAGCATGCAAAAAGAGTTTCTCATTGGAGGGTTTCAACCAGTGGCGCAAGCGGGCAGCGGGACAGCACGTGCGTACGAGAAGCTGAAATCACGGGACATGAAATAGACTCGTTTCTCTCTAATTCAGCGCTTGATGAGGAACATACAGAACGTAATTTGAGTAGATTCAAAAAGTATGTAGATCAGAACAATTCGGAAAAGTTCATTGCACCTCTACGAGCTTTTGGATGCAAAGGAGAATCTTCTAAGTCAGAGATTCCAGACAGACATCAAGACAAAAAGTTTCGATCGTATTCCGCTGGATGCGAGCACGCTAGAACGGACGAGAATATTCCTCCTTTCTCCTTACGAATGAAGTTAGCTGAGGAAGCGGATAATGAGCCTGCGAGACCGCGATCGTGCTCTGTCAGCGTGAAATTTTCTGTCAGTGAGCTCGTACCAGGAACTGTTTCACCTTTTTTTTGCCCGCATGACCTGGAAGGAGAACAATTCCACAGATCGCTGAGGATGAGTAGTTATTGTATGCTGAAGGAAAAAAGCTTTACTTTTCCAGAGCCAAAGTCGTGTAGCTCTTTAGAATTGCGCCAGACCATTGATTCAATCAAGGAAGGAATGCCTTCTCATTCAATTAGTTTTACGGTAACCAGCGCTTCCACTCCTGCTGTAAGCCCTGACTTAAACATTCCAGTCCCGTTTACTTTGAACAGAGTTATTTTGCCAGATCAGAGGTCTTCAGGAAACTATAATGAAACGTCACAGTTTTCAGATGAGTCGAAACAAGCGTGGAATTCAAAAACCTGTCCTAACCATCTTCAGTTACCGCCCACCCCCATGCCTATTTTTGTTAAACCTGTCAATCCGGATGAACCCGTCCGTAGTAGGAAAGCAAGTTTACCAGAGCTGATCTCTCGGCCGAAATCTCGTTCGCGATCTCTCAGTTTTGGAACGTTGTATGACGCATCTGACAAGAACCCCACATTACTTAAAGCACCTACCACGCAGAAAATTAGTTCTCCCTTATTACGACTTCGTGCCATTTCAAAATTTAAAAGCAAACTTCGTGTTAGCGTCGTACCACGCGAGTACAAGGTGGCTAAAATCGGGTTCATTCTCGTGATGGTTTTTTTCTTATCTTGGGGTCCGTACATGATGGTGCATAACTGTCAGCCCTCCTCCAAGACCCCTCTTTGGGTGTACCGAATAGCCATGTGGTTGGTGTACTTGTCGTGTGTATTGAATCCTATTGTGTACGCATTATCAAGTAAACATATCAGAACAGCTTTTAGCAACCACATGAAGTGCTGTAAAAGGCTAAACGCTCGTATATCGATGCGTCGTGCGCGACCAAGAGCGGCAACAATAGCCTGAAAACAGTTTTACGCTTTCACATTAAGTTGATGAGGACACTAATAGCTTTTCGCATTCACTAACACCTACGCCCTTGAACAGGGGTAAGGGATGTTAGTAATGAGCGAGAGTGACACATGGATGAGACCAGGCAAAAGACGCAAAAATTGGCGTGTTCGCGTTGCATATTACTCATTGTTTTCATTTATGGACTTAATGTGACAAGAAAGTCTGCTTCAAACGCTACTTTGGAATGTTTATTACAACACTGACAGAGAAGTCGGTAGAGAGTTGATTCAGAGTATTCTCTGTAATCTTTTTGTGGTGATCTTGAAATTGTGCAATTTAAGGTCTTTATAGGTATAGTCTGCTTTGAGTGATCATATTCACCACGATGAAATAAAAAGCTACCATGAATAAGATAGGATAAGCAAAAATGTAAGGATACGAATACCCCAAAATTCTGCAGTTGGAAGATTTCTCTGTTTGTTGCCTGGTAAAATCTTTCACGTAAATAAGGGATGACAACCTATAAAATTAGAGGTTTTAACGATTTTTAACCAAATTTATTCGAAAGTAGCCAGCTTTGTTCATAAAGAACAAGCAGTTACTTCAGGAATGGATCTTCAAAAATGAGCAATAGTTAGTAGTTGTACCTTGAGACATTCAGTTTCAGATATTTTATTGCTAAATCCTTGATACATGGTGCTATAAGTAAGCAAAACCGTTTCTACAACTTTTTCGTATCATTCCAAGCTTTAAAATCTCAACAAGTTCCTCTTTTTCAATAAAAAAATTTACAAAAGCAGTGTAAGAATGTTTGAACCAATTTTACAAAGAGCTTACGATAACATGATCAGTACACATGTACTGCTTATAAAACCTTCTCATGTATAACTTGGTCTAAGTTTCCTTACATGAACTGGTTTTAAATGGCAACTTGGGCCAATTAACCCTTTGACATCCAGAAGTGACTAACACATAACTTCTCCCTAGGATATCAATTCATTATCCCGCAAACAGGTAATAATTTACTCAAACTTGTCAGGTACAAGTTGTTATCTTGATCTGTAACCAAATTCTTCTGACTAATTTGCATGGAAATGTTTAGCAGCTAGAGGGGAGAATTTACAATCAGATCATGGGTTGAGAACTGGTCCACTTGAGCTCATTGACAATTACAGTTTTCAGAACACATAAACTATTTGGGTTTCTTCCTGCATAAATTGTTGAAGAGGTAGGTGGTCATCTAGATGAGAGAATTAACTACTTGATCATTCATGCATGTGTAGTGTTAGTGACTCCACAAAAATTCACACACCTCCCTAAAGCCTAATAAAACACCACTTTTTCAAGAAGTACTTAAATTAATGTTCAATGTAAATCTCTTATGCTCAAGTCTAAATTTACCTTCTGCATCAAGAGGAAAACCAGTGGTGTTATAATCATATGATATGTACAGTGCTTTGGTATCTCTTGTTGTGTTGTTTGAATTTATTGGCCAAAAGTTGGGTGATAGAAAGTTTTGGCATGCACTAAAAGTGCTTATGAGGTGGAAGAATGCCATCTGTGTTCTCACTTGATTCCTGATTTACTCATGCTAAAGTGCACCAAGGATACTAGACTGTGAACAGACCCTAATTATCAGCACTGCAGGGCATAAGTTTTGCCACCAGTGGGAAGATTTGTGACCAGTTGCCAAAGTTAGGGAGAGGTTTACTGAGGGTCTGGCACTAATGATGAGTGCAAAACCCTTACAGACCTCTTGCAGGCTCCAGTTGCTTTAGGCCTCGTGTTTATGAAGAAATGCTTCTGCTGAAGAACTGATAATAAGGAGTTGCCAGCAGGCTAGATAAACACTAGCTCTAGTCCTATCAATATTAATGAATCAAGTAATAGCAATGATTTGAAATGAAGAATATTTGCCAAAATGAAAAAAAAATGAAAAAAAACCACAAATTTTCTACATGTTAGTACAATAGTCCAAATGGTGCATTTTAGTCAAAAATGATGTCCAAATTGTATGAGGAGATAAAAACATTTTTTCATCTCATAGGTACTGTAACAACTACTTCATCTTTGTATTACTGGTATGTAGAATGATCACAACACACAAAGTGAACAATATAAACCATCCATGTGACAAACCATGAATATATCAAGTTTTCCTTGACATCAAGCTGCTCTGGTAGCGGGAGAGAGGGGAATGGAACCAAGGTTTAAGTAACCGCTCACGTGGTACTCTGATTGATTTACTATTCACCATCTTTTGAGGTTCCACATTATTCAAACGCTCTGATGGAAAAAGAAACATTCAGGATCAGTTCTGATCATATATCAAGAAATGTAGTTGTAGGAGAGCAGAAGGAAAAAAGGAAAGTATTATCTGGTAGGTAACAGCTCCATTTCTGTATAAAAAAAAATAGCTCAGGCAAAATTTAGCATGAGAATTCTCTGTAGTGGAGATGATTATGTTATTTCTATTGCCTAATGAACCTCCTGTCAACAAAACCCTTTTAACTCTCTATAACCTAACATCAGTTTGCATATTCTCCTAACTGTCCTCTGTACATTTCCTAAAGTGCTGACAAGGAGAATTTGTTAAACAATCAAGAGCTGCTTTAGTTGGTGATCATTTCCTCTACTCTTGTGACCTTCATGTCTGATTCAGGGTGATTTTGTAGGGATAATTAGATGCTAGTCACTCTTAGGGGTTAAATGGTTAAACAAAAATCATTGCATAGTAGCATCAGTCACTTAGCAACCAACAACATTCTTCTTTAAGACTCTCATTCCCTAGGAAATGGTACAACATTTCTCTATCAAACATATTCACTGAAGTCTTGCATCCTAGCATATGGTTAGGAAATTGGACCCCTTGGACAGTGTGGGACCTAGATTAGTTCTTGAACAAGAATTTTTTTGTCACAAACATTACAGAAAAGATCAATTCATCTCTCAGAATGAGGATGAAGTGATAAATATTTTTGATATAGAATTTACGTGTTTGATCATGGTCAGTTATGGGGTAAGAGATTTTGATAACCCACCTCTATGAACCAAATAAATACTTGTGTCATGAGGACCATATGGATAATTTGCCAGCTTACAATTCTGAAAAAAAAGGGAGTTGAGCTTATTAACAGGACTAGGAGAAGCTATGCTAAATTTGTAGTATGAAAGACTTTTCATATTTCTTGGAATTTATAACTTAGGGAGATGTGGTGGGCTAATGGTTAGTGCCCTAAACACCAGGTTGAGTAGTTCTGAAACCTGGCTGCATGATTGGATTATGTTCTTGGTCAAGACACTTTTCCCTCACAGTGCCTCACTCCACCCAGGAGTATAAATAGGTAACATTGAATTATCAGGGAAGCCCGTTGAAATTCTGGGGGAGGGAACCTTGCAATGGACCAGCATCCCATCCAGGGGGAAGTAGTAATACCACTATCTGCTTCTTAGTAAGGAAAGGGGGATAAGCACCCACTGGGTGGGCCACTTGGCTCATGTACAGACTTAACTTATTATGAGCCTAGGACAGCACTTTAAGGGATCTTGCAAAAAAAAAAAATCAGTTGAAATCTGTGGAAACAAGGGGTTGTTGTTTATGGCTCCGCTGTAAGTTCCACAAGTTTGTTAGGTTTCAGCAAAGAATTCAAAGTGGTAGCAAAACCTTGAGCATTGCCATTTCAACCTGTGTAAATAGCAGCCTGCAGAGATTGCTTTAAACTTGATGATATTTCACACATACAATGCCATTTTTGCTTTAAACTCTGTGATCATTAGGGGAAAAGCACACTGCACACTTCTGTAAATAAAGTAACAGTTTTGGAGGTTACCTTAACCATTTTATAGAAGCTATAGAAACCCCTGATTTTTTGTACAACAACTGCAACAAGATATGCTTTACATAAAAAGTAACTTACTTCCAGAATAAGATTTCTGTTCTGCATATCCTGTGTCCATTGTGGAACATACCTCTGTGGAATTTGAGGATGATAACGAGACCACACGGGTATGCTAAGTCCAAGCACACAAAAAACTGATTTCAATATTTAACCCATCTTTGGAAAGTGGCCCGATCTTAGTTTTCTTACGCTTTTTTCTTTAGGAAAAGTCCTCTTGATCATTAGTTGACTTGACTTTACATTATGTTCATCTCGTAGTGTATATTTAAGTAATTTGGCCAGAAAATGTCTAGTTACTCGCATGATTAGCTGAATTAAACTTCACTGAAAGACAGAAAAGTTGTTTTTCTTAGCTTAGAATATCGATTCAATTCAGACACAAACTTACTTTAAAATAAAATTTCCGACATATTTGAACTTCGTGCATGTCAATTATGCACTGTCTTAAGCTTCTCTGATTACTTATAAAGTCCAGACTTCTTGCTCTTAATGATATATCAGTCTAATTTAAATTATTCTTTTAGGTTGGAAGTTTATTAGAATGCCGTCACACGGACTGTGAAGACGTAAGAGACTTGATTCATGGAATTTTCTGTCATCTTTTTAAGGTAAACTAGCTTGAAATTATGCACGCTAAAAGTATTTTAAGAGTTAATCTGCTCTGAATAACCTAGAGCATGAATGTTTGATCTTACAAAGGATTTGCTCAAACAAGCTGAGACTAGCTAAAATACCAGGATTGCTGCGTGAAATACACTGCAAAACTGGCACCCTTAATTTATTTTTGTTTGTTACCTAGTGAAATCATTCTTGTAAACAAACGGCGAACGCTTGACAACCTACAGAAACTGCGCAAATCGAACGTGACGACCTTCTTAATTTACCTGTGAGTTTGACTTTCAGTTGCCATTATCTATGTAGTGGTTCGCTAGGCTTTATGCGAGAATTTAGAACTATTCTAGAACGAATGTATTCACGCTCGCTTCGGCGTCAAGGTTTGCAGGAAGCCACTGAAAATACTGTGACAGAGCGCTGTAGAGGGACTGGGTATCAGCCTCAGTCCCATTCCTCCTTTACAAGTTAGGAAGATGTATTACTCTTCATCACAAAAACATGGTTGGTTGGAATTTAACCTTTTTGTCAGCAGCACCGCTTGAGACCGAGGACGAAGAATAGGATAAAGACTTTTAGAGAAAGTAGCGTGACATTTTATGCAACCAGAAGTTTTTTTTATTCATAGGTTGTTAAGAGAATTTAATATTGTGCTATTTGTTGACGCCAAAGTACTCAGGGCGAGTGGGTTAGAATATACCACAAAAAGCCTTCAGGGAGCATTGAGAACTCAATTTAATATCACTTATGAGAATAGCTTCACGGCATTGAAATCACAGAATTTGTGCATTTCAATGTGCTCCCATTATAACTGGGAAGTGTAGATACTCAATCCTAACACATTCGCACTTGGAAGTTGATGTTCACCCTAAGCGAGTTTTACGAAGCCTGATTTTTGCTAATCTTGTCCCGTTGATCTCTAATTTAGAGCTGGATTGTAGAACACACCGAAGCGAATTAGTCCAGATATTCCATTAGAAAAGCTTTCGGAAGAACGCAAAAACTTAATTTGAAATCATTAACTTGATACATACGTAGCAGATTCATTTGAAAAAAAAGTTATCTCCTTGATCCATTGTGGGCAAAGAATACAGGGCAGAAATTTGCATTAATTTTTCCGCCCACAACAGATTTTAAGCGTAATTTGCGGGAAAATGATAAGGTTGTTTCAATTTGCACTTCAATGACAACTGATTTCGTTACATTTCTGATATTTGGTCGATGTTCTTCAGTCTTTTTGGACGTGAATCTTGTTACGAATACGGTAATCATCTAAGCAGTTTGTTGGTTTATTGCCTCTTGCACTGGTCTCACTCTTAAGTACCCTGTCAAAATAAATACACGCAACTGTTTGAGGAGTGGTGGCCTTGGACTTATGTAACTGTTGAATAAATCTTCCGGTCCTCCGCTCTTTCAGTCGAGTCGATATCCATAATTATTTGCGAATCGACGGAAGCTCATGAATAATTGATCAAACACATTAGTTTAACTTGAGAGAGTGATTCATCCCAACGTGATTATTCAGTTAAATATCCTAAGAAGACTTAACAGAGGTATAGCCATCCCGAAGTCGATTATGCTTTTTCACCAGATTGCGGCATAAGACCAGTTAATTGTGACCCAAACGATCAATTATCCGAAAACTTCTGAAGATTATTTAGGAAACCGATTGCGGTCCATTTTGAGAATCATTTAGCAGTCGTTAAAAAAGAGCTGTTTAAGTCGAGGTCCCAGTAAAACTGCAATGCACATAGTAAATATGTTAATAAAGCTTTTAACTCTTAAGCTTCTTACCTTGACCCCTGCATGTTAAACCTATGAAGGTGACTGTTTGCTTCGTTCACAGTCGGAGCTTTGAAGTCTGCCTCCCACATAGAAACTTTTCAAAACCTACCGAAATTAAGTATTAATAATGGATGAAATAAGTCCTCGATTCTTGATTCGTGAGGATTCATCTCTAAGTATCACTTAACTCAGACGCAAAACTCTTTTGAATAACTCTCTTCTAATGGCTCATTTCTTTTAAAGTACGCGATGATAAGTATCTCTATGCTATGGACACTCAGTGTCCTATTTTATCGAGGAAACTACTACAGATGTTTTACTTCGTCTTCAAATCGATTTTTTCCGGTGTGTTAAGAGGTAAAAAGGTGTGTAAAACAGTCAGTTCATTGGTTGTTTTCGTTTTATTTGAGTTTTAGCCGTCAGGTCATTAGAGCGAGTTGTACCAGGGAATTTAAAAAGGTTGAGAATTGCGAGTTTCAAATTAAGTCGATGTTCATCGCAGGCCACTGACTCAACGTTCGGAGTCAACTATTTGTGGAAGTCAGACTGGTTGGAATATTTAACAGGCCTTTCATGGCCCTTGTAGACTTTATTGCTCCTTAGTTTAAATTTTACATTAACCATAGGAGCGGTTTCTTGTTTTGGACGTTTTGTTTGCTGTTGCGTAGCTACCACCATCTTAAAAACTTAGCAGATGTACTGAGTCAGAAACAATGTTGAGCTTTCTTTTAAGCATAGAATCACAGCTCGGTGAAATTTATTTTTCTGTCTCTCGTTTGTTATCATAAACAAGTTTTCAGTTAGTTTCAGTGTCCGAGTTTTTGAAACCACCTCGAAAGCAACGCAAGTTATTATTGAGTAATTATACAACTTGTGGGAGATCTGGGTACGAAGATAGGCAGCCAGCTGATCATGCGGATCAACAAGCCTCTGGCCTTTAGTCTGTGCTTGGTTCAACCCGCTCAATATTTGTTTTTGTGCTAAGTTCCAAACAGTGCCCTGCACAGAGAATAATTTAGCAGCAACGTTTTACTGCGGAGGACTGAAGAACGAAAAGCGTTAAGTTTCCTCTTCTCTGTACAAACTCTCTGAAACGATTTAAGAATCAGTAGAAGAAGAGAAAGTAAGTAGAATGTTTATTTGTTTTGTTTTTTTTCCTTTACGCTATTGCCTCATCGCAATGGTTCAAAACATTTTATGCCAACATTCGTTAAAGTACAAAAGCCCATTTGTCTGAAAGACGAGCTATGATGAAACCCGACGTAATAGCCGCGATCAAGCTCTACTCAATTAGTTCAGTCCAGATGTCTTAGTTCCGCGTTTTAGAAGAAAAACGTTTTAATTTTAAGAAATGAATCTTTCGTTTTTTGGATCAACACCCTGGCATCTGGAATACAATAAGAACTAGTTTGTAATCTTAAAACTACCAAAATTGATTTTGGAAGGTAAATTTCCATTTCAGACTCTGGTGAAATGTAAATAGCGGAACAGTCGAAATTAAAACTTGCAAATTTACAGCGAAGAAATTGCCTTGGGCGAAGAATAAGGTGTTTTCATGTTGGCATCCAATGGAAATTTTTTTTTATTTTCCGGTTCATTTATTGCATATGGGTCTATTACAAAAATGATAACAATCAGAAAAATTTTAAATTTTCTCTAAATCCCGATTTGAGAAAAAGGTATCGGTTAGCGATGCAAAGGACTTTTACAAACTTATCGTAATGCAAGAAGTATTGAGACGAGATTTTGAAACTCCAGAGTAATCGTTCTTTATCGGATGCAAAGTCTTACTGAAATATCATGTTGAAGTTCTACACATGTAAGTTTGTTCTGTCTCACTTTGTAATGACACTTATTGCACCTTGTTTTCAACTTTGTATAGATGATCGAGGACACGAAGACCTAATGATATCTGTCATATCTGTCAATGAAAATAATGATGATTATTATAATTATGATAATGACGAGCATAAAATATTCAGATATTATAGATAACACGAACAGTGAAGAATGTGGTTTCGTGTGATAACTACAAACTTCATGCCGCAGGGACACCCTACTATTACTTAGAATCAGATAATGTGCATGGCAGCTAATTTCCAATCCAAACTCCCGTTCCTGTGGACTTTCGCTATTATGGACACAAACTCGAGGTTTCTTGGTTGTCCCCTCAGTTGTATTTGACAACTGATTGATGTTATTGTTGTTATTATTATCGTCATTTTTATACCAGTCACTTTTAAGATTACTATCATTATCAATACCATTATTAATATTATTATTATTACTATTATTATTATTATCATGGACAAGGATCATGGTTATTATTGGGTCTACCTGCCCTCCGACGATCTATACCAAATTTATTACAAAGTGCAACAACTTTTTTAATGCAAACTGCGACAATTTTTTTCTATTACAAAGTGAGACAGAGTGAGATGATTCATAACAAAGTGCGACAATTGTTACAAGTGCGATGATTGTTAAAAAGTGCAACAGAACAAGGTTTCTCGTCACTTTAAGGTTCAATTTTGGTGTTCATATGCGCTTAAAAGAGGTTTCAAAGAAACTAAGTTCATTTAAACCTGAAAATATTCGAGGAAGTGTTCGTGACTCGGCCCAGTAGCCAATTACTTTAAGGATAGGTGTCTACTTTGTGTGAGGTCCGTATGACACAACTTTCACTTGAAAAAGTTCTTTAATAAAGAGAACAGCTGGAGGTAATTTGAAATTTTGTTGAAACAGCCAATATGCTAATGACGGCTTATTAAACGGATCGGAGAAACTGACTTAGTGCCACATTTAAACAGGTTTCTTGCTGTAAAGTATCCTTTATTGTTATACGATTTTTCATGAAATGTAATCTCTTCATTCTCAGTATGCAGATGACGAGGATGCTATGTTTTGATTATCGATTTAAGTGAAATTTAGCATCCCTTCACCGCAGATGTTCTTACCAACTTGAGAGACAGTCTATGTAAATACTTATTTTTCTGGGAAAATATAAACTGGCCCGCAATTAGTTAGACGACAATCAACTGAGCGCGCAGGCTCTAATTGTGCTTACCGAAAGAGTAAGTTATTTCCGCTGGAAAAGAGAAATTTTTTGTCGAGTATGAATAATATTAGTATCTCCAAATTAATTTATAATCTTGGGATATATACTTAAGGTGAACGAAAATTTAATCCTTTTTATTAGACTACGAAAAACTTTAAAATAGTGTGAATATTATCATCATTATTATTGCTGTACTGATTACTAGTAGAAATGTTGTTATTACTAGTACTTCTATTACCATGCAGCTACGTAAGCAAGACACACGTGAGCGCCTTTTAATTAATGTACTTTTGACATATCCCAGCTCTGATTTTCAAGTAAACGTTCCCAAAAGCTAGTTGTTGCTTTACCATGATAAACTTATTGATGTTTTAAAATTTAACAACTTTTTTTTCACCTTTTATACTTAAAAAAATTGTCAGCTTTAAAATTTAACAAGTTGCTGTTTAATTTGAAACTTGTATCGGCTTTTCAGAGACTATTTTACCAAGTGCATGCACAGGTAATGTAGTCCTTGAATATTGCGGCAAAGAAACATGATTATCTGAGCTCTTATCTGGCCCTGGGCACCAATTCGTCGCTCATTTAAGATTTACATTTGACTGTCCCTTTGATTGTTACAGCGGAGATCATTATACAGAAAGCCCGCCACAATCCGAATTCATAATCAGTTTAGAATTGTTATCAATGCGACTGAATCACCCCATTAGCGTACAAGGCGGCTTAACATATCGAGGTATGAGTATTTCAGAGGTAAATGAATCAGATCACAAACTTTGTTTTACATCAGGATGGTTCCCAAAATAGTAAATGACAGTGCTGATTAGTAAACAAATAATGCTATGTAAAGAATGTTCATGTACGGGGTTTTTTTTCGCCTTGGATTTCAGAACACCTGAGTTCCTCACCGACGCGTGGGCCTTTAGCAGCGGACCACAAACGGTGAGATTTTGAAACTTTTTCAAATATTAGGCTTCATACTTTTTATCTGAGCGAAAGTTAAATCATGTAAAGCTTGACACTTTCCTGTCATGTAATCTGATTTTAGTTTTTTCGTATTTTTTGATTGCGTACCATTAATAATGATTGTGGTACAGAGAAAAACCCACGCATAATATCACAAATTAGATAAGGTTTCTTAGAAGTTAAGTTTTACATGCAAATGAGAATTTTTTCCTGTGAATTGGGATCACGCTGCCTATGCATCATTGGGTTTTTTTCGTGTTTTGACTATTAAAAAAAATCGAGAAATAAGAATAAACCCGAATATGTATAACAAGGACGGGAAAGGAAATTTATTAGAGGGCTAATTTATTTTTATGTTATTCGGGAAAGAGAAGTTTATAGCCTAGCTTTTGCGCAAGGTGGTATGACGAGGGAGTCAACGTTGGCTCCTTAAAGTTTTTCAGGACATGTAGCCGGCTGTTCTTTGTAAACGCTCGATCTCCATTTGAAATTTTTCGTTTATAATCATACTTACGTGTAAACTGTTGGAAAGTCATGAGTGGCCCTTGGACACGCTTTTTTAATACACGTGAGCTTTTTACTGTCTTTCTCGCCTACATAACCAATGGTAAAACACTGGTAATTAATGGAGACTAACTATAATCTTGTTGATGGAGATTAGAATTGAAAATGACTTCGCCACTGAAGGAGATCCTCACGGACTAACCGCTTACGGTAAAATCTGCTTAACGTTTTCGTTTAGCATACATGGATTGCAAACCTGAGGATGAATTAAACTCATAATCTGAATATTAATGGTAGAAATTTGCAGAAAACTTTTTTCATCCCGATTAATGCTTTTGACACGTTCTTTGTGGTTTACTTTCTGAAAACGATTTTGGGTTATTAAAGCTTTTAAAGCTTTTAATTTTACACAGGTGGTGTAGGTCTCATGTCGAAAATGGATTAATTTTTTACAGAAATTCTTAGAGCTGGTGCCTTAGTCTTTTTTGTTAATGGAAAAATCCCAAGTAGTTTTAGCTACGAAAATGAGTTGGCAAAAAACCTTTCATTGGTAACTGATGTATAACTGCTCTGACTTGTTTGAAGTTAGTAATGTATACTTTTAGAAAATGAGTTGAAAAAAAATCGATCTCAATTAGTGAACTCTATATTACTGAACTCCTGCTTTTGTTTCGGGTGATTTCCCCAATAAATGCAAAAACGATTCTTGATTTTCGTCCTCACATTAGTATTTTATTTTAATTTAAAAGCGTTCAACATGCATGCAGCACGCGACGATAATCGCGTCTCTAATTGACAACCCATTTTTGGGTCTTCCTTTGTCATTTTTCATAGACAAACATTGGCAGACGCAGTCTTGTTTTCACCAAATGACGATTCATTCAATTCAATTGCACTCAAAGTGTTCTTGGTCCTATTACTACCAAATACAACATTGATGAAAAGATTTAGTATCAACAATTTCCAGTATTCTAGAGATATCGGCAAAGTGACCAATCGCACCTCTCTGAATTAATATAAAACATTTGTTTAGTTTTTTGAATCGGAAACACTAATCTGGAAGCTAATATCGCAGGATCAGATGCACAGTGATGGGCTTGATTGAAATTTTGACATACGTCGGAACATTTCAGTCATAAAAATAGATCGAGCTGTAGACATAACGGAAATGGAAGAAATTATACGCCAAATCCTTTAGAGTTCCATACAGTACGTAATTTGCTAATCTACCAAAGATAAAAAGCTTTTCGGACAAACAAACGAAAACATCTTGAAATTCAGACCAACTTTAAGGTATACAAAGGCGTGCTGTGATAGTAAAATAATCCGTCACCTTTTATTTATAACGCTTACATCTTGCAGCTGGCTCTAAGTATGTTAATTCGTGGTTTGATGTAAGTTGTCTTTATATGTATTTACCTGAAAGCCTTCAGGTCTTTGTTCAAGATAATTTATTTCGTTTAACCGCCCGTGGGTTATAGTCGCCAACAAACTGGACATCGATTATAAGTCATTGAATAAATATTCGTGAAAAAATCCCCGAAGGCTCTGTTCACTCAAACAAGACATTTTCATCATCTTACAAATGTAGGTAGACAAACTCGTGATAAAACTTGAAGTTTTGTGATTTTTATTAATAAATCAGTATAGGAAGTCATGTCATAAGATATTTATAACGTTGTGCATTTTCATTAAGAAATTTTGTAACTAAAAAATGCTGTATCTAGGCGTCGCTCGGTTATCAGGTTGGCTTCAGGTGCAAAGTTTTGTTTCTGATAGGAGAATTGATCTTATCGAATGGAATATTTGCGTGTATCGGAAGACTTAGTCGATAGAAAAAGTACAGAGTCCAGAGATCGAATACGTTATTTCAGTGCTTTTTTGGACATCGAACACTTAAGAAATGGATCTTGATGACGAAATTCTACCCCCCGTGGAATGCAATGCGTTGTGATTGGATTGTATTAAAATGGAGACTGAAAAAGAATTTCGGAAAGTTCTTAATTCACTGTATGCACAAGAGGAAAAACTGCATGAGGTTAAAGCAAACATTATTATATATAGGCTAGGTGATTATGGTGATTCTGACACGTTTTTCGTAATTGGAGATGAGAATGCTATAGTACTCAGCCGGAAAATTAATTTATCTTGAGGTAGGAACACATGCACTCATTCAAGGAGAGTAATGGAAAAATTTCTGACCGTTCATTTTCCTCCACTTTACCAAGCAGAAAAGGTGTAACTTCCTAACATCAAACTTGTTATCATATCCTGTCGCCCGATGAAGATACGAGTCCATTTTCACTAAGCCTTTGAAACTTCCTGAATATTTTGAGCGGAAGAAACAGGCTCACATTACCGCTCTCTGATTATAACAGCCTGAATGTACAACATTCTATATTTTCGCCTATCTCACTCGGCTTGAGACTTGTTCTAATTCTTCTAAACCTGGTTTAATTCAAGTTGTACTTAAAAGTTTAAAAGGGAAGAATTTTACAAATAAGTCCTGTTTGTCAAAAGTTAAGAGTATAGGATTTAGAATAACGATGTATTCATGTATAGAATAGCGTAGAGATACCTCAACAAAAAAAGAAACTGACAAGTTGATCGCAGTTTTATTGGAGCCGGTCATATTTTTATGGTTAGTAGTGCCGATGAAACAAACATCATTTCCACAAAGATCTGAGCAGTAATTCGAACTCTGGAGAAGAACTGAAATCGTTTTGACTTCTCTTCAACTAAGACACCATCTCAAATCACCTGTTCGTAGCTGCAAAGCGCAATTTTCATACGATCCTGCCTTGTCAGGGAGTTTTTTTGCTATGTTCTTTTTTACAGGCTTAAATGTCTTCAAATATTCACCGACAGTGAGACAAAATAGTTCTGAATAAACAAAGGAAGATAACTTTTTACCTCTTGAACCTTGCACTTTCCGTGTGGTATATTTTGTTAAACTTTCCACTAAGAAGTGTAATTCTAACTGAGTAAAATTAATTTGGCTTCAACTCATAACAAAACAATAAGTATTTGTTCTATTCAACTCAATGGATCGACTGAGCATAGTCGCATGGATCTTACAGCTATTTCAGTTATTACTTTTTAGAGATTTGTTCAAACATCGGACATTTCCACTCTTCATGGCTTCAGCAAACCATACAAATCAAGACTGAACTCCAGTGTATTGAAAGACGTAGAAATATCGATTTTGTCTTCTCGTTTTTCAGGCTTAGAGAGGATGGCGGATGCCGTGTACACATTTTTCGCTATTTTGGCCACACTCATTGGAGGAAGCGGTGTGATCCTTAACTTTCTCGTGTGTTTGATGTACTTCGCAACTCCGAAGCTTTTAGATGCCACTAACATCTTCATGCTCAACATGGCGGTTGGAGACTTAACTTACTCAATCGTGGCTCTTCCGCTTCTGGTCGCTTCCAACGCTCGGGGTGAATGGGCATTTGGAGAAGCAGGTTGTACTGCTTACGCCTTCATCACATTTTTTTTTGCACTTGGCACCATGATGCTACTGGCGGTTGCTGCTTACGAGCGTTACTTCACGCTATGTAGGTTGTACAATGACGGTCAAACTCAGTTCAGTAAGAAAAGAGCAATCGTTCTGTGCGCACTGATATGGTGCTATTCTCTGTTCTGGAGCGTGATGCCGGTTCTTGGTTGGTCCAGATACATCCCGGAAGGTATTGGTACCAGTTGTTCAGTGGACTGGACTTCAAAAGAGCAAGGTAATGTGTGGTTCACCATCCTTTTGATCCTGGGCTGCTTTCTGCTTCCTGTTTCCATCATTATCTGCAGTTACCTCAAGACCTTCAGGGCTTTGAGAAAGTTAAGCCAACAAGCGTTGCAGAATTGGGGAGAAAACAACCGTGTCACCCAAGAAACCCTCAAGGCAGAAAGTAAGATGATGTGGATAATAATCGCCATAACAGCAGGATACCTCTTTGCCTGGACGCCGTATGCCTTAACTGCAGTAGTGGCCATTATAAACCCAAACAGGATCAGCCCTATTGGGGCCACGATTCCAGCTTATATGGCCAAATCTTCAGCTTGCTACAATCCAATAATTTACGTGTTCATGTATAGAAAGATGCGAAGCAGATTGTGGGCAATACTTTGTTGCAAGAAATCTCAAGTTCATCCAGACGCACAAATTGCTTCTGAAATGGCAAGCTATCAGAAAAGTGCAGCGGTTACATATGCTGGACGAGGAACTTCATTCGATGATAAAAACGTAGACTTTCCCCACTCAGCCTGAATAGCTGGCGGATCTTGAGGGGAAGGGGGGTCAGAGGATTTTGAAGTATCTCTACAAAATTCACTGATGATCCCCCCTTAAGTCTCTGCAATATTCTTTTGAACCACCCTCATTGGCAGTTAGTCGTCTATCGATTTGAAGTAGTCCCTCCTGTTTAGTCTGTTGGCAACGACTTATTCCCTCTCATGTATCCCCTGAAAACACGTGATCCCCATAAATCCTCCGCTCCCCCTCCCCCTCTCAAGTGATAAACAGTGATGGTCCCTAACTGACATCAAGGAATATCAGTGAAAGAGTTTGATCTTGTTTCCGGGTTTTTCAAAATATCGTGAACTTTAACTGACACAAACAACGCCTATGAGGTTTCCAAGATTTCCGGAGTTCTAATGGAACTCAACTGAAAATTTTAGCATTCTCTCAAAACGATGCGTACTCTATGCATTTCGACAATGTTAATCTGACTCGTCCTTGTCGGTTGGTTTCGAGAAACGCGAGGAAGATGGGTACAACTCATGGACGTACGCAACAAACTACACAGGGGACGGTGAGGCAAATGTTCTCTCCTTCTTTTGCGTGCGATTTTCACGGAAGGAAGAGGGACAAGTTCTATATTTGTTCTCAGGCGTTACTTATTATTTATCACGAGGTGAAGGGGGGGGGGGGGGGGGGGGAGGGGGAGAAAGGAGGAGGTTTGGGGGATCACATGGTTTTCATTGTTGCCAGAGAGTATACAGACGGGACTTTGAACTAACTACCAAGAAGGGGGGAGGGGGGGGGGGTCATAAGAATGTTACAGAACTTTATGGGGGATCAGGTAAATTTCAATGACACAACCAAAATCCTCCAGCCCTCCCCTGGTGATAAATATTGAACAGTCACTTAGGAAATGTGAGAAACTCCATATATTCATAAAAAGGATCCTAAAGTTGAAAAAATCCACAGCCAAAATAGATTTTCCATTACTCTTAAAGGAATCTTTAGTTAACTGTTGTGTCATGAGAGTTCAACAGAAAAGTAATGTTCATTGAGTAAACATGTAAAGTGGAGTCGAAATAATTGAACTCACTACAACTTAAATTACTTTAAAGTTATTTCCTTAAAAAATACCCTTTGTAAAATCATATTGCCTTTAATGGTAGATACTCAGGATATCAAGTTTGTCAAAAAATAACGTAGGAGGAGCAAGTTTACTTTTTAGTGCAAGGAAAATATATGTTATTCAAATAGAGTTCTTTAACCAACTTTCAGTGACAACATCAATATACACACAAGGAATCAATTACGAGCACTTGAATATTTTCTTCAACATTGTAAATCCCAAACTTGGGTCACACCAATGACATTACCTTAAACCAAATTTGGTTCTGAATTAACACTGCATTTCTATGTTTAAAACATTCTTTGCCTCATACCTTTCATTATGACCACAGTCCCCAACACTAACATGGTTGGAACTTGAAAATGTTTGAGAAACCAAGACCAAACAATATATTGTGGAAGGCTCCAAGCCATGACTAAAACCCTCTCATAGCTTCCATCTAAATCTAAGAATTCAACTAATTCAACTGCACTTGACTGGCAAGACTCCAAAATAAACCACTTTACAACTGGCCTTGCCTTATTTTTACAACTCTATAGATTTAGTTGCTTCTTAGAAAAGAGTTATCAGTAAGTAGAAGTTGTCCCCAGAGATCTGACAGCACCCCTAGTTTTTTACTATTGATGTGGTTCAAAATAATGCATCACTTCCTAAGCTACACAAATAAGACTGCCATTTGCATGGCTTCTCAGCCAGTCACTGTGTCCCATTGCACCTGAGGCATTTGATAACACAAAGTTAGTTTGCACATGACCTGATGTGAAGCTGTCCATAACAGAAACTGAGGTACATGGGTTAAGCAAAAGAAGCTTTTGTGATAATATTTGGGTAAAAAGGGTGGAGGAAAGTCTTAAGTCTTCAGTGGTGTCTTTAGGAGTTTTCAGCTTCTTCATTTGGACTTTGTTTCTTGAATCCTGCACTGCGCTGTTTAATACAAATTCTGAGGGTTTCCAATTGCAAGAAAGTGGAGAACTGCTTTCATTTCCCAGCAGTCCTTGTTGGGTCGTGATGTTTCTAACTTGCTGTAGTAGAGTCTCAGAGTGGTTTTGCCGCATTTGAATTCTCTTTGCAACCACCAAAGCCACTTCTGTTCCTCGCATAGGCATTTCTGCTAAATGATGAAACCTGCAGGCAGATTGGGTGGTTAAACAGACTGGTGTCTGCACAGAGGGAGTGAAGTTCTGATGAATGTCACTACTGTGGTGACAATAATGATTGGTGATGGAAGTGACAGACAGTGCCAAAGACAAACTGAACACATATGCCAAGGCACACGCAGAAAAAACCTGAAGATTAAATAACAAAAGAGCTGGGACCAACCTGCTACAAGTTTACAGTGAGGAAAAGGCTACTTCAAAACAGTTAAAACAAGAGCGAATGGGTATTCTAGTTAACTAAATGATACGCCCAAGGCTCTTATTTACATTTGGTACCTCAAGGGAGGGTCCTTATTTGAGAAAGTATGCTTATTAATTTTTTTGAGAAACAGCAGAATAGCAAAATATGCAAAACAAAGCTTTACAGTTTAGTTGAAAATAATTATGAAGACCAGAAAAACAAACTTGGATCATTCCTGGAAAAAATGACTGGTGAAGCAATTGTCACAAAATTTTTAAGACAAGATCATTTGTATGAAGGAACTGTGCTCTCACATGGAAATAATAGTTGTCATGAGGCAAAGACTTCTTTATAATTACGCTTTAAGTGAAAAATCAAAGGGAGATGAACCACGGTTGTTATCACAATATCCCTGTAATCTAACAGTGCTATGACTGAAACAAAATAGGGGCACTTATTGGAATAGGGGTGCTTATTGGAATGGGAGTACTAACTTGATGGACATGTTCATTAACAAAAACCAAAGCTGAGGGGGTGCTTATTAGAGAGAGGGGGCTTATTGGAATGAGGTCACTAACCTGAATCATTACCGTGCTTCTAATTGACCAAAAGAAAATTCAGTGTGAACTGCTGTATAAAACAGTCTGTCCTCATAATAATTATTAGTAGTTAAAATGTCTTGTCAACACCTTCCTAAAATATGACATACCTTCAATACTTCAAGTCTAAAAACACCCAAAGTACCAAGAAACCTGGTATTATCCAGTAATGTGCTCAAGTCACCATAAGTGAACCAACCACGGGAAAGTCCATGAGTAGTTGCAACTCTGCACAAGAGAGGTCAATAACTATAAGCTAAGGATAAGTTATACAAGTCCACTAAGAATTAATTGAATTCCCAAAACTTTCTTTTTAATTATGAAAAATATTTCAATTTCTTGTACCTGGACTCCACTTTGTTGACAAAATCCAAAAATTCTTGATTGCTGACAAAAAGGTTCCAGTCCTGACATTGAAGAGCAGAATTATCATCAACCACACTTAACTTTGTGAAAGAATACAGATGTTATCTTTCCATCTAACTGTTAGTTTGATCCTGTTGTACTTACTGTGATACACTCTGAATATTGCCACAAAACGAAAAAACAAAAAACCAAAACAGAAAGGAAAGAGGTGTAACTTGAAATATAGCCTAGTACTTACAATGGATGCTAGGAATTCCACCTCAAGCTTGTTTACATCATTCACAGTTTTGCTCCCTGAAGAAAAAAAAACATGACAGAATTCTGACCATTCCCCATACAAAATTTCCATGGTTCTGAAACTGGCAAGAAGTTATTTACTTAAATCTATGCTCTGTAAAATTCTCTTTGCTTCATTGTCTTAAATTTTTCTATCAAACCACAAAAAACCCCAAATGGCTTACCTGCTCTGGCCCAGTCATCATTAAACACTTCCTCTGTCTCTCCTTCATCATACAAATACTTGGATGCAACCATCTATAATTAAACAAGAAATATGACATGTATGGTGTTTCCTTGAATAAGCCCAGGCTGTTGGTTTATATTTCAAAAGGAGTACTTATTTGAACAAGGCAGCTTAGTTCCCGGAAGGGGAGGCGGGGGAGGACAAATAGGACAAATATTAAACACAGATAACACACATAAAGGAACTCTGCAAACACATAGGGAAAGAAATAACTGAAACAGAAACAAAACTATTCAAGTGTACTGATTCAGCTGAGATTGAAACTTGTGAAATGGCACTACTATTTATGAAAGCAAAGGAGGAGGGGGTGCACTTATTTCAACATTATGGCCTTGGAATGGGCAGTTATTGGGGAAGAGCACTTATCATATTTATTATTTAACATACAGCACATGCCACACATGAGTGGAAATGGGACTTCCCTACTGTCAGCATTAGAATCTTTTTAATGAGGACAATTAACATATTATTAACCAATTCCGTTAATAAAACAAAATAATCTACACCTTACTAACCATTGAAATCAGGAACAAGTCAGAGGATGAAACTCGTTTGAGATACTCAGGATTCTTCTGACGTAAACGCTCAGAGTAAAGAATTCCCATCATCAATGTGCAGGGAGATATCTTGGCTCTCCTGATCAAAACAAGGTTGCTGGGTGTCAGTGATGTATGCTTGACAGTTTTTCTAAGTACATTGAACTTAAAGGAAGAACATTTACTTGAAATTACTTTCCATGTGACAAGAGAGAGGATGTGTTTGCAGTATTCAGGGGAGGGAAGGGGGAATTTAAAGATGGGGGGGGGCTTATTGCGAACTTGAAGTTCAAGTCAAAAACCAACTTAGATAGGGGAGGAAAAGGCTTCATAGAGCATTTATTGTAAATTTATATGAAACTTACCGTGAAACTACCATAGCATAGCTTGTATCCAAGCACTTTCTGTCTGTGGGTGCAACAGAACCAAGGACCTCCACTGCAACATCTGCAGGTGAATATTTGAAGAGATCACAAACAGTCATGTTGCAATTTCTTCTCTGTTTTATGTATTTAAATTTTATCCTTAAACAGCACAAAAAGCTACAAGCAATTTTTGATCATTTTAGAGTACGAAAGTCATATTAGCCCCCAAATGCCGCAAAATAATTATGAATACACGGGTACGTCATCTGCAGTCTACTTCTCCTCGTGTGCATTATTTGCAGAAATAAAAATGGCTCTTCAAGTTGCTATTGGGTTTACATGGAAGGAAGAAATTAAATACCACGCCAAATTCTGCCTTATTTTCAATAATGTACGGGTTAAAATTTCAGTAATAGCGCGAATATGTTAATTATGCAAATTTCTGAAAAATCATACAGTAAGGCCAGTGCAGTGCTTGCATCATCACTAAATATTCCCCGCTCATGAATTCACTTCTAGACAGAAATTACTAATCATGACTTTAAAAGAGTAGCTTTATACCTGTGACTGCCAAAGATGGAAGCGATCCGTCCGAATATTGGCCATAGTAAAGAGTTTTACGGACACGATCTCTGAATTCAACGTGATTGCTCGACTGCATAGCGCCTCTTTCCTAGAAAAAAACAATCATCAGCCATATATTCCTACGATCTTCCGCGATTTTAAACCAAATCTTGTGCTAATAATAACTTAGCTTACCTCCTGATCTTCACTGTTCATACCAGTATTCTATGGCAGTCAATTATAGACAAAATTCGATAATGAATTACCACTCCTTGCTTGATCAAACGCAATCAATATGTAGTCGCCTGGTTCCCAAGCAACACCGAAGCATGTTTGCAACCGAGAGAAGCTGGGAATAGCAGCTGGGGCCTGGGCATACAAAGTTTTTTGTTTTTAGTTTTTCGAGTGGGAAAAGGTTTTTTTTTTTCCTGTCATGAAAAAGGGATAGAGAATGGAAGGAGGTTGTATGTAGAGGGACTTCTTTTTATCGGAGACCCGACGTTGCCCTAATAATGGGCAGAGAAGCAACTATGGACATTGCAAGGGCAGTCATAGCTTTTGAACTTGATTCAAAATTAAAGCTCCCCCTTTTTTCTCCCTCTTGGAGAAATTTAAGTACGCGATGAAAATTAGTTATACAACTTTAGAAAGTGCTAACGGTGGCCCATGAAATTATCAACTTAGTCGTTAAAACTAAATTATCATTTAATAGCCCTAACCGACGTAGCACCACAGTTTCTTTAGAAACTTACCCTCTTCATCTTATTTTCTCTTTCCCTTCTCGTGGGCTCGTTCTTTTTAACCTTTGATTAGGGTTAACAAGTTTCTTTGGCATTTCTAATTAGTTCAGCTGGGAGTACAACTTCAACTTCCTGAAATGGTGACCCTTCTACTTCTCCCGTGGAGAGTGATCTACTCTGGAAAAGAGTGTGTACTTGTACAAAATGATTTTAAAGCACTTAAAGACACTCTTAACTCTAAATTTTCCATTTTCGTTGGCTTACGAGATCGGTTCAATGCATCCAAATGATTACATTTTACCGGAAATGGATTTGAACTCATTACGAACCTTTTAATAGCAATTTTAAGCACATCTGATACTCTTAATCTCACGCGCATTAGAATAACTCCCACGCAATCTTGTTTTTTTTTTTTTTATTCAGTGCGAGAGAATTAACACTTCACCAAGGATTAAGTAACCTTATTTCTGTCAACTCTAATTTAAAAATCAAGTTCCTAAAAGAGGTAAGTGTTCACCCCTCAATTAGAAAAACATTGGGATTTGATTTATAAGATGTTTCTTAAGACAGTTATTTAAGGATAAAGCGACCTCAACTAAACAATGGAAAGGTAATTTGTTATTATAACTGGGTTTAAAACGTAAGTTGGTCACCGGTTAGAGTTTCATAGCTTTAAAACTCTTAACGGTGGTTAATTTACGTTATCAACTCAATTCATAATACTAAATTATCTTGTTACACTCTCCCACCGACGCAGCGTCGCATTTTCTTTACAAACTTACCCCCTTTAATCAATGGAAACTCAGTTACCTCCTATTCCTTGACGAGAATAATTCCAAGCACCTTCCCCGTCCCGCCCATCTGAGACCTCGTTTGCTAACTCACCTTTTTGAATTTTTAAAGAGGCGTTTTTCGAGAACCAATTGTCTCATTTGCAAAGAGACGTAATTTTGAACGATCAGTTTTAAAACTGAAGTTTGATATTTGTTCAATATTTTTTCCTTATTACTTCAGATTAATAAGAGTGATCAATCAACGGAATAGTTTTAAAATTCATGACCAGCTCAGCGATGCTTTCGAGCGTTACACTTGTAAACTTTCTTTTTCTTAAAATCACCAACTACGTAATCACGTAATGAGATTTTCGTCACTCCCCTTGATTAAACGACCATTTCCGGATTTCTTGGATGCCTAATTAGAATGCAATTTTGGTCAGTAAATTTTAACAGTAATGAAATTGAAAGTTACTTTGCTTCGGGTGTTCATGTCCACAGTATCTTAAACTTGTCATCGCGCGTTGGATTTGTAACAACGCAATGCATCAAAAGATCGTCGGTCATATCTTTACAACCCGACAAGTGCACGAAAATTCACGAATGGTGACGAATAACGTTTCCGAGTACTTGAAGAAAGCAGTGAATGTGACTCTTTCATCATCAAATGAAAGGTGAGAATTTGTATATTCCATGAGTATGTCTGTATTTTGTTTTATTTTTGTAAGTCTTCGGCGTTTATTTTGGGTATAACGGGTAGGCGAAACCCCACTCGACTTAACAGCACATTTTACATCGTCATTCATCTGTGACAGATGAAAGGACGTGCCTGAGAACAACACATTGGTGAAGATTCGTTCGTTCCGCACTTAAAATTCATAAACTGTAATCGAAGTCCAGAACTGACCTATCAGCTCCGGCGTAGCCGCTTTTGTTAGTAAGCTGTTCTTTATGATCAGTATTGATTTTTTCGACGGTCCGTGTGATTAGATTCGCTCGGAATTTAACTGGTCGACCGCATCATTAGAATGTCTAGCTCCGAGTAACGCTGATCAGAGCGACAGATACCACGATTTAGCTACGTGGACTTAATTGAATTTCAGCTAACATATTTCAAACAGCGGTTGAACCTGGTAAATACCACAGGGCTTCAATTCATGAGCGTTTTGCTGCAACTGTCAAAGAGTTTACGTTTCTTACGGGTATTCCAGAATCTCCTAATTACATGTTCTGAGTGAGCTGCTATAAACGAACAGTGACTGATTGCTCTGATATAGCTTCAGAAGCCTCTTGCTCCAACATCTGTACACGACAGTGGCAAATTTGGTCAGCTGAAGAGCCAATTGCATCGTCTCTTATTTCTACTGGTATCTACAGGGACTGTTCGAGTTTATTTCATTCACCTCTGGTTATCATAGATACAAAATGAAATGAGGGAACTATGTCATATGTGGAATAATTTCGGAGCAATGACAGAACACGAAGGAACACCACGAGGATTATTCGCGAGAGCGTGTTTATTACAGGGCTAAAATGGGTTACACGAATTTGAGAGATTTCTGCGGATAAATTAGACTGCTTTGTAGAGAAAGAACACCATAAATGTGTTTTGTCTACTTCTAAGAGCGGCAAGCAAGCACCCGTTTGAAACGAAGGTCTGCCGACAGACACGCACCGGAAACGAAACTCTTCGCGATATTAACTGCGAGGGAATGACCGAGCGATTGTCTCCAACAGCGAAAGAAACACGTCGATTTGTTTGGATTTTAGGAAAGTCGAGAACTCTGTTTTTGTGATGAAAAAGACAAGGTGATTTGAATCCTTGTATTGCTTTGTATATATATTTACAATTCCGAAATGTTCTACTTGTGGGCAGAGCATTCGAGCATTGTATTTCAAAACCATAACAGACATTGTCAAAAGTTCGCTTTAGTTGTTTTATTTATTTTATCATAAAACAATGTGTGTATCGTATTCGACTCATGTTCCTCGATCTTTTTTGTTTAAATATACATTTAAACGATAAGAATTAACTATTGTCTTGTTCATTTGTTGGTCTGGTATGTTCTCTTCAAGTGTCAATTAATTTACTAGAATTTCGTGATGCCAGAAAAATTATTTGCAACGAAGTAATTTAAAGGAGGGGAATTAGCCGTGATTAACCCATCAATATGAGTTCAATTAAGTAAACTTTGACAAGGATATATTTTTTTGGAACTAGATAGACTGTTGGTATTAATTCTTGGCGTGTAGTTGGAGCCTTTTCTGCATGCTTATTTTCCTATTTTATCTCTAATTTCAGGGCAAAAGACGATTCAGAAGCTTACCAACACCATTACATTTATAACAGAGATGACGAAATCCGCAGAAGCACAGGGTCCATTTATGGAGGTGATAGCCCATCAAAAGTGAAACCACAACCAATGCATGTCCGAAGTAACAGCGACACAAGTGAAATAAATGTTTCAGTGAGAAATAACTACATCGATGGGCATGCTGCAGAAGCCCATTCTCCCACAGGAGAGAGTTTCTTTGCCATAATAAGAAAATTTGAGCAAAACATTCAAGATGGACAGAAATCGGTTCAAAAGTCCTGGTTTTATGACAATGAAAACCAGAATTACCTTGTTGATGGGCTCAGAGGAAAGACTGGTACAAGCTCTGCCAACTCAAGTCCCTTGGTTGAAAGAAGAACTCCTCTCTTACGTCGTAGAAACTCTTTGAGAAACAACAGTTATTTTGGGAGAGTTTTTAAAGGTTCAGGGGATGCGAAGGGAGGAGAGGAAGAGGTTGGAGATGAACCATCTAGAAAATATTTTGCACACTATGACTGTCGCAGTATAACAGTTGATTTTGATGAGCTGGCACACACATTTTCTGCTCAAGGTGATGGACTTAAAAGGAAGAACACACGCTCTGGTGCTTCAGCAGCATCAACTCAGGTTACTGCAGCAACACTTGCTGACAGAATGCAAAGACGTGGCTCAGACTCGAGTGCAGGCACAAATGAGGACAATCTTCCTGACATGGGAGATGACAAAAGTAATGGGCTTGTTCTGAGCTGTCCCTATTTTCGCAATGAACTTGGTGGTGAGGAAGACCAAGACCCTCAGATTGGTCTAACTCCAGATAATGTGGCATTTCAAAATCTTCATGATCCAATGCATCCCAAGGAACCAAAATTGGACACATTGAGGAGAAGGTCAACCCTTGATATTCTGTTAACTGCTTACGACTCGGCACAGGTTGGAAATTTAAGCAGTGGAACAGGTGTGACAATTCTTGACAACTCAACACCCGAGAGTGGTTTTTTATATCTTGGGGAGGGATACTACAATGAAGATGGAGGAGTATTTGAGCATGTAGATCATGGATCCTATTATTACAAGAACTTTTTCCTTGGTCAAGGTATGTTAAGCATGGCTTTGGTCAATATCAGGTTTGGGTAACACATCTTATCTAAAAAACTTTTGCCATTAAAACTGGTTTTGTTTAACTCCATTAACCCTTTAACCCCAAAGAATGACTGGCTTCTAAATTCTCCTTACATTATCACCCTTTAAACATATATAAAGGTCATAGGAATAAAGGATATAATCACCAACCAGGAACCTCTTGATTGTTAGACAAATTCTCCTTGTCAGCAACTCAGGAAATGTATACAGAACAGTATTGAGAATATGCATACTGATGTTGGGGTGTAATTATTTAAAGTGTTAATAAAACTATGTGTCTAATCTAATTAAAGCCAAATCAGATCATTCCTTTACTGTTTCTGATCTGCTTTGTGCTTAATGGCGCGTAAAGTCCTCTGTCAGACAAAGTATATCCCATAAACTTAGTTATTACTAATTAATTGTTAAGAAAGGAGTGTTTCTCTTTTTGAAACGAAGTCTTCACTCCATCATTTTTAACCATCTTAGTTATAAAGAGTGACCAGCTGTAATCAATCATTTAGGTCATGAAAATTAGGTCAATGATCACCAACCTACATGTAAGAAGCTGTGAATGCATGTTCTTGTTTTCTGAACCAAAGGAAATGAATAGAGAAAAGTATAGACATCATCTGTATTAATATTAGGGTGATCAGTAATGATGTTAGGGCTAGAAATTATATCCTCTGACATTCTTTTTCTTTTTGTAGAACATCTGAATTATCTTGGTATGGATGAGAGATTTGGCCCTGTTGCGTTGTCCTTGAAACGAGAAAAGCTTGATGAAAGCACTTCTCTACTAAACACAGGGGAGGCAGAAGGCAACACTTATCAATATCGCATAATTGCTCGATCTAGTGAAGTAAGTTTCTAAAAGTTTTGTTTTTCTTCAAAAAAAGTGAAATTTAATGTTATAAGAAATCTACATTGTTTGAGGTCTGTGTTGAAATCTTTCACACTATTTTTTATGCAAGCTATATATGTTTTGTGTTCATTATCATTCCCTGAAACAAAGAAAATGCTTCCACTACTGCTTGAATACTTTGCAAGTTTGATGATCTTAAAATGCATTCTAAGCACTTGACATGTAGGTTAACAATAGGTTCTTTTAACCTTTTAACTTCTGAGATCTGATTGGTAATCCTCCCCTCTGGCTGCTTCACATTCCCTTGTAAATTAGTTACAAGAATTTGGTGTTAGATCAAGGTAACTAACTCTAACTGATATGTTCAACTATTCTCATTACCTGTTTGCTAGATGATGTATAAATATTGTAGGGAGAAATTACATGTTATCACTTTTGGAAGTTAAAGTATTAATTTCAGTTTTATATAAGGGTTTATCCAGGCTTCTTTCAGTAAAGCTTGTCTAAAACAATAATTAACAATTGGTTTATATGTCAGCGTGCGTTCATCGAGATATGAACCAATTGTTTTATAACATTTTCAACCTGAAGGAAAATTTTTTCCTCGAGGGATTTGTTTGCTCACGTCATGAGCGTGCACAACAGGAATATGAAGCACACTCGCGCAATTGAATTTGATTAGACAAATTTACTAGCTATGTTATAAAGAATTGTAATACAGTATTTCAAGAGTAGAATGAATAATTATTAATTAGTTATTAATTCTTCATTTTAACAAATTTGTAGTTGACAACACTGAGAGGAAGTATTTTAGAGGAAGCCATTCCATCAACTTCAAGACATGGTTCAGCACGTGCCCTCCCAGCTAAGGATATCCTTGAACATGTGATTCCAGAGTTTCAGTTAACTGCTCTTAGGATGGCACAACCTGGTATAAAGGTACAGAGCTCTACTGGAAGATATGAGACTGTGTCTAACAGAGTTTTTGCATGAATTTTTCATCAGGAATATTACAGCTATAATCTCATTGGGATCTGGGAGCAAACCAGTAATTAGTAGTATATCATACACAGTACAATACTACTTTTCATTCTGAATGGGATCAATTGCACCCTGGGCCCTTCTTGGCTACTCCCTTGTTTAAACAATGATGAAAAAAGGGATTAATATTTTTATTGGCTACAGTTCTTGTTATGGTTGTCTTGATGTACATGTTGGTTTTTAAAATCCTCTTGTGTTATAACCGTCACATGATATAAATATATAGTTATCATGCAACAGCTGCTGTTTACATTGAAATTTTTTCCTCTAATTATTCCTTTGCAAAGAAACAACAAAGCCATTTTGTCTTCATTATTTACATTTTTGTAGAGTCCAGTGGTTGTGACATTATAAAGCTGCTCTCAAATGCAGCATGGGAAATGATGAAAAAATTTCTTCTTTCTCCTTTTGGCTAGCTGGTATGTTGGCTGATAATGTCCTTGGCTAAGAGATTTCCCTCAAAATTTTACATTTGCCATTGAAGCTTTGCTTGTTTGTCAAATGTTCATTTTGCAGACAATATCTCAGGGGTGGATATTATTAACCAAAGTACCAGGTGCCTAAAGGGTTTATTTACTAAATATTTGCATCTGAGTCATAAGGAAGTTTTCACTGGTCAGATGCTATTTTTGGAGGCTGTTGGCTCACACAAACTGATGTCTTTATAATTAGTTATACTATATTTACTTGAACAAGTGTGGTGGTGGTTATTTAACTTTTCACACCTCCCTAGTCGTTAGTGTAGTTTCATGTTTTCATCCAACTTGCTCAGCTGACTGGTTGGATGACATATAGTGTTTGTGGCCTTCTAGTTCGCAAGTGGCAAAAGGAATGAGTAAATGATATTGTGCTATTTCTTTGCACTTTTTCAGGTTCCAGAACAGCTTGCGAAACTTGATGAACAAGGGGTAAGATACATCTGTAAAATTTAATCACCTTCTGTGTGCAATTCAAGGACTGGTCTTATTCAGCAATTGTCTGACTTTTTTGTTACATTTTTTTTTGTTTTTTTGTTTTTTCAGATGACCAATCAATACAAAGTTGGTGTGTTATATGCAAAGAATGGCCAGGGCACAGAAGAGGAGATGTATAACAACCGTGAGTGATAGTCTAAATTCAGTGGAAACTTCTGAAATTTTATTCACAGGAATGAAGGCTGGTAATTGTGTTTAGAGGTTTGTGCAATATCTCAATGAAACTCAGAAAACTAAGGACAAAGAGGCAAGGTGTGTTTAAAGAAAAAGTGATGCAGTGTTAGTCATAGTTTGTGGAAATAAAAATAATAATTTTTACTCTAGACTACATGTAGCAATAACACAAAATAAGTTCATGAAAGCTTGCTATTACAAAACTACCAAACAAAGGTTGCTAAATTGGTGACTTGAACCCCAAAGTACATATATTGATTTTGTTTTTCTACTCTCCAAGGGGACCAAAATGGTCACAGCATGAAACTAAGTTGGTGTTAATCACTTTGTATCTGTGGGTTACCAATAATCAAATTTTTGTTGTTTTGATTCTGTAGAAACATCAGGCCCAGCTTTCGAAGAGTTTCTTGACTTGATTGGTGAAAGAGTTACCTTGAAAGGATTTGAACGTTACAGAGCCCAGCTGGATAACAGAAGTAAGTTGTTCAATGAGGGAAGAAGTTCCTTTTTTAAACCTTTAAACCTATAAGAGTGGGAAGGATCCAATTTCTCCATACAATATCACCCATTAAAATCAGAAGAATAAAGGAGATGATCACTTACTAAAGGAGCTCTTGATTGTTCAATAACTTCTCTTTGTCAGCTCCTCGGAAAATGTATTGAAAACAGAGTGGAGAATGTGCATACTGATGTTAGGGTGTAAAGGGTTAATTTTTTTTCTATTTTTGTTGGGCAGATGACTCCACTGGGGAGTATTCAGTGTACACACAGTTTCATGGACGTGAAATTATGTTTCATGTATCAACGCTTTTGCCTTGGACACCCAACAACAGACAACAGGTAACGCAGCTCCATTTGTAGATTAAGGTTAATCAATGAATAACGTAGTAACACAACCAATATACATAGTCAATCATGTATTTACAGTATGTGGATCTTGGTAATGGGGGACAAACATTTTTTCTCTAAATACTTAATTATTTCTTTTCTTCTTTTGCAGCTTCTGAGGAAGAGACACATTGGAAATGACATTGTGACAATTGTGTTCCAAGAACCTGGTGCTCTTCCATTTACACCAAAGAACATCAGATCTCACTTTCAACATGTTTTTATTGTGGTCAGAGTTTTCAACCCTTGCTCAGATAACACATACTACAGGTATTTTTGTTGATATTCTTCTTAATATGGGAAACTGTTGGACCCAATGTTGTTTTAATATGGTAGAATGTAGCTAAGATGGGGCATTTTCTACACAGCCACCTCTTTTTCCTTTAAAAAATGATAATTTGTGATTATAGCAACCCTTTTACCCTGCAATAGTAATCATTTGAGAAATTTCCTAACAATTGCAATACACTGTCAAGCAGACTGGTGATGAGAAGTAAGGCAATTATTCTTTAGGGGATATTGTCTTAATAGGAATTCAAGTTCTCACAAACAGCCAACAAAGAAATGTAGGATCATCAGTTCGGAGAATTCACTTTCAGATCATGGGAGTGACAGGGTAAAACAACCCAGCATGCTTCCAAATGCAGATAAAATGCTAGTATGGTACACAGCCTGTGGAAAATCTTTCTCATCCTCCTCCCAATACTTTGACTTTCTTGGGGCTTGAGATATCTTGGGGTAAATTAGTGGGTTACAGTAAAAAAAATCCACACACAGTAACATGACTAAGATATTGACCAACATTGCACTGTACTTTGGTTTGTGACTGTCTCTGTTCCTTTCTGTACCTAGGGTTGCTGTAAGTCGTTCAAAAGATGTTCCTCCATTTGGACCTAATATTCCTGCAGGTGCAAAGTTTGGAAAGACACAAGCCTTTGCCGACTTCCTCTTGACCAAAGGTAGAGAACATTCTAGTCTATTGCACTGATAGTTTAAAATATTCCTTATGACAAAACCATAGAAGGAAAAACTTTGTGGGAAAAAAATGTGTGAAAGGAAAGTCTCAGTTCACTTTTTTTTTAAATGGCAGTCATAAATGCAGAAAATGCTGCCCACAAGTCAGAGAAGTTCAGTGCTATGGCCAGAAGAACCAGACATGAATACCTGAAAGATCTTGCCACAAATTTTGTCACCAACACCACACTAGAGACTGGGGCTAAAGGAAAAGGTATGAGAAGGCCTTCATCATGACCTTTAAAAAGCAGTTGGACATGTTCATGGACAACATATTTCTTGATTAACATGATACTCAAAATTGATTAGTACAAAGTTGCTACAGGTGAAGTGTAATTGTTTTTAAATGTTTGATTGTATAACCAAGGAGTGGAATTATAAAACAAATGGTTGAAATAAACAGTACATTGTTTTTGTGAAAGTTTAGAGATGGACAGTCAAATGTCTGGGTCAAGGGCCTTCAGGAACTGAGTTACTCATCTGAGAGCACAGATTTTAGCGATGATTAACCCTTAAACTTCCAGAGGTGATCAACATGTAACTTCTCTATCCATAAATTATCTGGCAAACAGATTATGAGAATACTCAAACTAATCAGGTAGAAATTGTTATCTTGATCTAAAACCAAATTCTTGGAACTAATTTAAAAGGAAATGTGTATCAGCTAGAGGGGGGAATTAACAATGAGATTTTGGGAGTTAAGGAGTTAACAGAGACTAGAAGAGACTTTTTTCTTTTATAGGAATCTTGAGATCAACCAAGAAGAAGGAGAAAGTTCGTCCTCCAATTTCTCCAGAAAAAGTCTCCAGAGGTGCATTGGTTTGGAATGTGCAGGTACATGTGTAAAATATGTTGGTTAATAATGTTGTGGTTGTATTGGATGGGTACCTGTAGAAGACATGAGAGGAGCATAGAGAAGTGGTTAGCAGCATATTTAGACTCAGTGGAGGAATGATGACCAACTGAAGAAGCTCTTTCAGATTGTTAAACAAATTCTCCTTGTCAGTACCTAAGGAAATTTATAGAGAACAGTATGGCGAATAGATATTCTGATTTTAGGGTGTATAGGGTTAAGGACATGCATGTGTGTGTGAATTGCAGGTTGAAGATTACAGGAATGCCTCTATGATTGAGTGTAAGATGGGAATCTCTGCAGACAGTCTGGTGCTCATTCACTCCTCAAGCAAAGTAAGTGATCAAGAGCCCCTTGTGTGCTCTGGTTTGACTTTACCTTACTCTGCAATTACTCAGTTTAAATGTTTCAATTATCTCGTGTAATTTGATTCATTTATTTAATTATTTCCCCATTTATCTCCTTTCAGGAAGTGCTATTTAGCATTCCAGCCAAGTCTGTCATAGGATGGACATCCTTATCACAAAGGTATTTTTGGAGACAAAGCCTCTTGTTTTTCTCTACCTTTGAAGTGAATTTTGCTGTCCTTGTGTAAAGGTACAGGTTGAAGTCTTTATTTGAGATGTCATCTTTAAGCCCATAACCCATAAGAGTGACTAGCATCTGATTTATCCATTCAATATCAGCCCTTAACTAAATATAGGTCAGACAAATAAAGGAAATGATCACCAAATAAAGGCACTCTTGATCATAAAACAGATTCTCCTTGTCAGCACCTTAGGAAATTTATAGAGGACAGTATAGAGAATATGTGTACTGATCTTTGGATGTAAAGGGTTGATATACTTTTCCAATTTCTTTTTGCTTTTCATGTTATTTTCTTATATGTGATCATCACATCTTTTTTGAACAGCATCAAAGTGTTTTATGGCAGTGGTTATTGTCTGGTGTTGAATATTCCAACACGTGATTCAGATGACATCCCAGAGATTGTCAGGCGACTGGAAGAAATTTCTATTGGTTGTCAGGTAAAACAGCATGTTTGTGCACTCAAATGTCAAAAATGGGATGTTAGAGCCTTCCTTGATTATTGACAAGGTACAGAACTTTAATTGAGTGTAATTTTTCTGCTCGGATGATCGTTTTTTTTTTTTTTTTTTTTTTCCCCGTTGTGTTCTGTGGTGGTTTTACAGGGCTTTGGGTTGAAAATGAAAAAGATTTCAGTTGAACCAGGGTAGATACATCTACATACAAATTAACTTTCGCAAGATTAGTATTGGTCGAAAACGATACCAGATAGAATTTGAACCACAGCCTCACTTGATTAACAGTTCAGTTGTTCAACACCAAGCTGAAGAGTTCTCAAGTGCGTCAGTGAACAGAACTTTCTTTAACAAATCCAGAAGAGCATAATGGTTTTGTATTGTTTTCAGACTCAAACAATGACTTTGCGGCGAAATGGTATGGGACAGTTAGGATTCCATGTACGGTTTGAAGGCCTCATTGCGGATGTCGAGCCTTCTGGATTTGCTTGGCAGGCAGGGCTAAGACAAGGATGCAGGCTTGTGGAGGTTTGTGAGTTTGTGATTGAGGATATACGATGTTTTGTGCTCATAACAATTTATGTGGAAGTTTTTTTTTAATTATTTCCTTTAAAAGGAGAGCATTTACAGCATGTACATCCTCATGTTGCGAGAATTTGAATTTTTGCTTTTCAGATGTTTGATTATAAAAGCATGTAAATGTAGTTTTCACGGGTGAAGATGGTGTTTGGTCGATGCTCAATTTAATGTACATGTACTCTTACAGCAACATAGTTATGTATTTCATACAATTGAGAGGACATTTTTCCAATGAATTGCTACATTCTCTGTCTCGCGCATCTGATTGGCTGAAAACGAGTGCATCTTTCACGTAAAACGAGCGCAAAACTGTAACGAGTGCAAAGTTGTAACACAAGTGTAAATTACAAATAGCGCGCGCGCTGCTTGAATTTCGTCTGTCTCGACTTTCTGTGATGCGTTTTTCATGTAAACTATAAACTTATTAAATTATTGTTGTCTTTGAAAAATTTGCAACTGCTCATTTACACCAAATTGTACTAGAAATCATCTGGTTACTTATAATTACTATTTATGTAGATCAACGGGATGATAGTAGCCACACTGAGTCATGATCAGATGATTGACATCTTGCGTAAGCCAGGTTCAGTGACGGCTGTGATAGTGCCACCATTCCAGAGTGGAAAGCCAAGAAAGTGCGTATTTCTAGTTGTCTCCTTGTTTTCAAACTGAAATGTTCTTTTATGTCCCCCCCTGCTTCCTGCTGTCTACTGGGTTATTTATGGCTCACCGCGTGTTGATATTGTACCAAGGAGTATCTAGTTACTCACCTGATGTTGCTTATTACCCTAGGGGTTAACTGCTTGTTTGTATTGCCCTTTCGGCATGAAGTGACTCGCTCTATGTTTATTAACCACCTCAGGGGTATGCAGTGACACATGTACACCCATTTTGTTTCTTACCCCAAGGCTATGTAATGACTCACCTCTTGTTGTTTCTTTAGCCCAGGGGTATCCACTAACTTTCCTCTTTTTGTTTTAATTTTTGTTTTATTTTTTATTTTTAACACCGGGAGTACATTGGGTTTCACCTTATGTTCATGTTACCATGGGCCTGTGGAGTAACTTGCTTCCTTTTTTTTTTTACCCAAGGAGTATGCAGTGACTTACTCTAGTTTTTTTTTCTCACTCCAGGGGTATCCAGCCGACCACTGGTTCCTACTGGAGCTCCTCCAATCGTGCCTCGGTCACAACCATGTCGTCATTCGGCAGTGCGTCATCAGTGGCAGAGGAAGGCGAGTCACGTGATCACTCAGCAGCCTCGTCTTCATCCATATCAGCCCCTGACAATAGTAGAAAACAGCCGCCAAAAGGTTTGACGTCCAAGAACGAAGTGAAAGGGAAGGAGAGTCCATGGATCATGCGCTCGAATAATGCGGCTTCCATGGATGGCAGGTAAGAATGAAATAGTGATACTTTTATGATGTGTTTTGAGGTTTATCTTTTTTAACAAAAATTCATGATATGACATATGATAGTTCTGTGCAACACATTGGATGGTCGACGTATTACAGATTTATAGGTGTCAACCGACTTGTTTTTACATGTATTTATACACAGTCTTTAGTGCGCTGTTTTCGTTTTCTGATATCATATCTCGTATTCCATTTTGTTGCTGGTGGAGAAGACCTTCGTCAAATCGTAAAGTGCCTTGTATCGTGAATTTCAGAGATATTGCTTTCAGTGCACGGTCAATTGTGTACATGGGAAAGCCAACTTTGCAATGCATCTTTTGCCGCTTTCATTGTATTCATATAAATCAGTTTAGTTTAATTTTATTCATGGCTCGAGGCGCTCTGTTGAAGACGCCCTGACACGAACTTTATTTCGCGTCTTTCAGAGCTATGTACTCAGTCTCCCGTCCTCCTGACCCACCGTTGTCGCCCAGTGCGAGCTCAGCCTCGTCTGTCAGCGGTAGCACGTCAACGCTTCACGAAACATCACGACAACAAGCTGCTACCTACGGGGCTTCATACACTGTGACAAGCATTACTCCAACAGATCCTAGACACCAGGCGTCCTCTGAAGCACACGTAGCGCCAAAATGGAGCGGGCATTTAGCGGTAGATTCAGACCCACGGCCAGCCAAGCCTGTTGGTGTGACGTTAAAGGCCCATACAGCTTCAGGCACCTTATATGCCATCGCCAGCGGACCCTCGTCTCCGCCAGCGTCTCCGCGTACCCCAGAGACCCCCATATTTGGAAGTACTTCACAGAGACATCGCAGAGTGGTTCTGAATGGTCAAGGGGATGGAAACACTCCTTTAAGGATAGAGGGAAGTTTACAGGATGGGAGACCGCTAGCGGACAGTTATGGTACTATTCGTGTGAACATTGAACCGTCAGTAGCGTCAATGCCAAATGACAAAGCACGAGAACCAGAAGTTGCTAATGGTGAGGTGATGCAAGCTGCTGCTTTGCCTTTTAAAGAAACAAGTCTTGGAGCAGTTATTACTACTGTCAACACTTACAAACAGAAACAAAGCTACGAAGACATCAGCGAAGCCTCTATGTCTGACACTGTCGATCAGATCGAACGCGCGTTTGGTTTTAAAACACCTGACATGATCTCGAACGGAACTGGGAGCCTGGAGCGGAACAGCAGCATGCGAGTGAAGAACGGAGACAGGAGCCCTTCCGATTCTATGCAGGACATTCACCTGACCCGCCGTGTGCAGTCAGGGGATTCACTGAATCGATACAGTGATGATGACGAAAGTCCCATAAATATTCTGAAACGACTGTCAAAAGAAGCCAACAGAGAGCAGGACAGAGTGAAGCAGAGAAAGAGCGAAGGAGATCTGCCACATAATATGATTAAAAGCAGGACAACCACTGTGGTCGAAGCATCACCAACATCGGTTGAAGTTAAGAAAGAAGCCGGAAGGAAGTCTGAGTACGAAGCGCGGATAGCCGCAAGAAACCTGCTTATAGAACGCTTAGAAAATCACAGGCAATCACTCGAAAGCCACAACGTAGAGGGAATCAAAATTTACCATGCTAAAAGTAGAAGTACACCGGCTGATGGGGCGAAAAGGTTAAATGGCGAAAAATCGCACAAGGCGCGGCAGACCTCGCAGGATGACAGTGCAAAGAATTCTTTAGAGAGGGACGGTGTGGAAGGATTGGGGAAAGGTGATCATTATTTAAGGCGGAAGAAATCTGCTCCTGAATCACCAAATGTTAAGACAGTTCGTACTCCAGATAATTACCGAGCAGGCAAACCAGTGGTACGCTCTGAACGAAAAATCCGCTTGACAAGTTCTGCGAGTTCGAGCGGTCAGACACCGGAAAAAAGTCAAACAGTACCCCGTCAGAGATCAAGCCGGCGACAGAGGCATGCGTCCAAACAGATGGCTGCTGCCAATGGTGGAAATTCAGATTCATCTGATGAAGGACGTAATAATCGATTTTCGCGAAGTGGAGATTCCGTCGATGCCAGTCCATCCGTTGTGGAAAAGCTTCTTTTCACGCCCGATAGCAACAAAAAGTCTAAGAGTCTCCCGCGCGAGTTGGAATCAGGAGCGATGCCACACGCGAGTGACTCTCGCGAAATGCGCAGTCATCGCTCGCATTCTCATTCGCACTCATCACATCTCAAAGGAGCGCGTATTACCAAGATTAAAATGAGCGCAAGCGAGGAACCCAATGATTCTATTGTGGATCAGACCTCGCGGCTGTTACACGCCGCTAAAGCTGTCAAATACGACAAAGGATCTTCCCTTGTCATAGCTGAAGATGTGTTGCACTCACTAACTCGCGCGTCTGATCTGCTCCATCATCAGTCGTCGGCTGCCAGGGAGGAGAAGGAAAGAGACAGGAAGGATAAAGACAAGTCACTTAACAGAATAAAGGCACCTGGTAAGTGTCGGGCCGGGAGGGACAGGAATTGGGGTGGGAGGGGGTGGTAAAAATAGGAAAACGTTTAGAAAGGAGAGGAGACAGGATTAGGAAGGGATAATGTACGGTGTAATTCAAATTTCCTCTTTTCTTTCCAACTCTTTTTTCTTTTTTTGAGATATACTTCTATAATAGTTTAAGATTAGATTTTTTGCGTTTAGTTACTCATGACACTTGCGGGTACAAAGCTAGATAAAAATTACTCTGGAGGATTTGACAAGATCGAAATGGAAATAAGTTTCATGATTTTAGACTTTTTAAGGCGGCCACCCTCTTTGTTTTACATCTCGTCCTTGTTCCTTTTCGTCATGGTCTGAAGAGTTTAAAATTACCGGAATATAGGCTAGTTGTTTGTATTGTGTAATCGCCAAAAATAACTTGTCAATATAACTTATGTTGGAGTTGGCGTGACGGCTTACACGACAAGTTGGATGCCGTGAGAAGCCGCGAGAAGCCGCATTCGATTTCGTTAACAGTGTCATGAATGCGGGTAGATCAGATCGAACTGCGGGAAGGAGAAAATGGGATTTAAGTACTATTTTTGGAGTTCCAAAATCATGTCTGCATCTACAATATCCGAAAAGTTTGGGTAAGGAACCATAGATGTCTTTTTGCGATTACTTTTGGATGAATGTTACAAGTTTTTAAGTGGGTCAAGTTCACGAGCTAGATGTAGTCGCATGAAATAATCAAAGCTCCAAGCCTGAGCGAAGGCCAGTCTGTGAACAAGGGATTCACTTCTAATCCTTGTTAATGTAGGCAGGTTCTCGAGAATATTGAATTGATTTTGTTCTTCAGGGGGAGAGCTGTTAGTTGGCCTATGTTTTGTCGGCCGTATTTGATTAATTAAACTATGGACAAAGAAGTAAGCGAATAGTTTACATGACATCTTGACTCGAATTTGTGCAGAATCTATGAGCTTTGTGCATCGTTAATTGCATTTTTTAGTTGAAAGAAACTAATCTCGTCATGGAATTCCGCTGATCCTTCAACTTAGTGTCTGAGATGTAACTTTAGGTCGTAGATATTTCCGTTCGATATCTGAGGAACCAATCATGCGGATTTTACGCTTTCATCACCTCACTGTTCGAGATTTACAGTACGAAACTATTTCTTGAGCCATTTATCGTCAGGAGATAAGTTGCCCTCGAGCATTTACACAATTTTGGAAAGGAATTCTAGAATGAGCTAATAGTGAGGAAACGGAAACACTAGTTTCGCTCCAATCATTATTTTGTTTTGTTCTGGCGGTGGAAAGTTTTCATTTTCAAGTTCGATTTCAAACAAGTGCTAATGTAAATCTGAGAAAACGTTTAGTCGGTTGGATAACTTTGGCGCGGGGTGAAGTTGCTGACTTTTCTCTAATGGACTTATATTGACGTGTGGAAATCAAGATTCATCCAATGAAGGACGTAATGGCATGTGCGTGTAATCTTTTTCACTGAATAAAATTAATGTACCTTCGCTGTAATTTTTACCATTATGTCCAATTTCCTGCTGTGATAAACGCTTCCTGCATAATGTACTATACTGACTTAGTCACGTACGTAAATCTCCCGGTCGATTTGTTTCATACGACATTATTTTGGGTGCGGACTTTGTGTTGCCATCGGCATTGTTTTGGCCTCTTAACTTGCCTCAGTTATATTGTTTTTGAGTTTATTTTTGTCGTAGATATCTTACCCACTTACATTCGCTTATCTATATTTTCTTTGCGTCATGTTTGTGTTTTGCCCCGCACGGAGAGGTTTGTCTGCTCTGTTTGATCAGTTGGTGACTTATTTTCGCTGTTTGAATCTTAATCACGATAATTAACGCATGTCAGTTTTAAGCTCAGTCCCAAAACACCGAATTCGCTAGATTTGGTGAAGTCAGATTCGTCTGCGAAGACATTTATGCAGCTTAATATATTTATCGTTGCCTCCCACTTACAGTGCGATTTGTCAGGTACCTTCGCCAGCGTTGTGTGATGTTTGGGCTGTGTAAGGAAGTCAGAAGTTTTCATTACTTATCACTGACATATCTCGGATGCCTTCTGTTTATCGTAAAACAAACTCACTAAATGTACACAGTGATGGAGGACGTCAACTCTCGTGACCTTTTCTTGGCTTGTCACTTTTCACCGGAAATGGTGTGTGTAGTGCTAACGAAGAACTTTGCACCGGAAGCTGTTTCAGTTTTAGATTGCCGATACAGATGTGTTTCTCGTGGATTGTAAGAATTCAAAGAAAGAGCTACTACAAGATCTTGATATAATGTTTTTTCTGAATTTTTCAATATTTCTATTTATTTTGACAAATTTGTGCCATTTAAACAGAAGCAGTCCAACATTTACGATGTTTTATTTCTCCAACTTATTCTTGTCAATATTGTGAAGAGTGAAGAGCATAAATTTTAACGTGTTCTGTGAAAAACTTCCTGTGAAGAACGAAAATTTTCGGTTCCTTACAATCACACATCTAAAAATATCGCGATGCACGGTAGACTATTCATTTCATTCTTGCAAAGAATGTCTTTCGTGACAAGCAAGGTGAAGTCTCAAAAAAATCCACAGAAAATAATAATTTTGCAACAGAATAGACGGCAGAAGGTGTAATGATTCATGTGGATTTTTAGTAGGAAATGCGAAAATACAAACTCATCTTTGGAATTAACTTTAAAAAGCATTGATCAGTTGTTGGAATGTGAAGACTGTTTTGTGCGCCTATTTTTGTTGTAGTGCACCTTTTTGCCTGAAAACACAGCCGAGGTCAGTTCTTTCTCGAACACTTCAAGTGCTTGCGAAACTTCCTGCCGAGAGAACGTGTTTCTTATAAATGTTTTTCTGACTATCTCAATTAGTGAGAAGATAAGAGAGCTTCTCTCGAGGGTTCATCAATTTATATAATCCACCCCTTCTCTAGAAACGTCAGGTGCAATCATTTAATGGACCTGCGACCGCCCATGGTTTATCTGAATAGACGCACTGTAGCGTAATAAACGAGCTTCCAACCTTCATTGTGACGAGCGCCGCGTTCTGAGATGTATAACAATGGCGCCTCGTGAATTGTTGTATGTCGTTTTCAGTTCATAGTCCTCCTCTCCATGCCTGTCTCCAACCCTCTGCATGCCAAACCTGTCCGAATCCTCTGGCGAACGAATGTACGGCCGTCGTCGGCCAATGCAAGTGAGCTACCTTAATTAACGATTAAACGTTGCAGATTGTAACTTTGTCGACGTTGTTTTTCTTGTTGATTTTCAGGCCGTGGTCGTTCACATGGACCTCACAAGTTTTACATCCCTGTTGTGCCCAGGAGACACAGCTTCGATGAAAGAATATTCGCCGCACCGGTTAGTGAAACATTTCATTTCCGTTTGTAAAAATGCCAGTCTTGGAGTGTTTCCTTAACGTGTAAACTGATTCAGTCGATGGAAGAAGAGCGGCACTAAATATTCCATATTAAACTGCTTTAATTGCGAGCGTTGTCACTCACAATTGTAGAGCGACAGATTTGAGAAAGATCTACTCGGGAATTTCCCTCTTATGAACAATGACCGTTACATTATTTTTGTCCAGTTTCAAACAAGTGAAACAAATTGATGTGTTGTTATTTGTGTGCATTGCTTCACTGTTTTGATAAAGTTACTCAAAGTTGTGTCCTTTTCGTGTGAAGTGATGGTTAGAATACTCCCCCCCCTTCCTGTTGATTGACCGGTCTATACTGCATCTAGATTCCAATATGCTTAATCAGGTTTGCAGAAGACAGATAAGTCAAAGAATGCTGGCTCATTTGGGTGGAAAAGATTTTAGCACAAGTTAATCAGACGTTTAGAGCGAGTTGAGTAATTCAGGCAGAATTCGAGAAATCTGAACGAACTGTTTCGACCAAAACAACACAATCTATTGTGTCTATTATTTTGTCTTTTCGTTGAAATGGCATCACATATCATTCTCTTCCTTATTTTATCGCTTCAGGCGTGTCTGAGGCGTGTAGCTAAATATACAGCTAGTTAAATATACAAGTTCCTTCTCGTTAATATTTTGGTTCGCTGAGTGCATCTGCCAACTTTCTAACTTGATTGTCAACTATCACCAAGAATCTTCTACTTAATCAAGCTGTAGTTAATTCTGTTTTATAAGAAAGAACCGAAATATTCAAGATTTTACGAGTTTGAACGTTTAGTCATACCTTTAGATCAAAAGATTGTTGATGGGGTAGAAAACAATTGTTGAAACCTTAGACAACGCCTCCCAGTGAAAACGAAAGGGAATTTTGACTCAGGAATATTTAACTTCTAAAAGAACATAGGGTAACAGCTTTGTGTTACAATGCGTTACGTTTGAGAAACCAACAGTTCTGCCCAATAATTTTTTTTACTTTAAGTTCACATGATGAATTTTTGTCTTCGAGATAAAAGCTTTGTAAGCCTCATCAAACTCGTTAATTAGAGTACAAGAGTGTAAATTGTGGAATTATTTTAATTGGATTTTTATCATTCTTCAGTTGTGTAGCGACATGGATTTCGCTAAGTAAACTGTATGTGATCTTGGACAGCCACACATACTTATATTACTTGACCTAACTTGAATTATTTTTTTGACAAACCAGTAGAAAAACTCTAGCCGTCTCTTAGTTGATATTTTGGTCACGCTCGGATGCTTGTTTTCTGATGTTGTTGCTTGCTGACAATTAAACAATGCGAAAGAGTTATTGCAATTCAAGTCACGACAACTTTGAAGACTTTTTTGTTTATTCTTCTTACAGAGTGCCAAAGGCAATTCTGGTGAAAGGTGAGTGTTGTGTGTGCACTTATTTGTACATCTATAGTATTTTTTATGTTATTTTGATTATTTTCATTTTACTCAGGTAAAGCAATGATCCTCGCACGTGAGTAGCAATAATCCATTTTACAGTTGTGTGCTTGGTTGCCAAGCCTTTTAACAAGAGTGAGGCTAAGGTTGACCTTCTTATGATACAAACCTTGCTGCTTTTCAAATGCAAAGGACTTTGTTATCA